TCCGTGGCCTTGAAATCCCGAGAACAATGTGTTGGCATGCGTCAGGGTCTTCAAACGGTCGTCTTCCAACGAGGCCGTTCCTTCAATGGGAATGACCCGTTGTAGGGGCTTTTGAAGAGGGAGAGAGGGTGAATTCCAACATCGTTGATGACTCCTGGGTTTACACTGGTCCTCCTCCTACTCCTCCTCCTCCATGGTGCCCTGAGTTTCTTGGGTTTCGATGGTTTTGCTGTGGAAAGCGGGACGTTCCCACACCAAACACCGATGGACGTCCTGGGGTCTCAGGGTTGGGTGTCATCTGGAACGTTCCTTGTGGTCGAGCTCCTACTGTACCCATGTTTTCCGTGCCCATCTCGGGCGTCCAAAAAAGAAGCGCGGCCTCGCGGGCAACCCGGGAGCGGCCCGGCGCCGTGCGGAGTCTGCTCAGTTCTCGGCTGCCTGGCCACCTCAATGACTTCAGGCCTGAGGTCGAGTGCCGTGTACATGTATGACGCAATGTCTCCCGTTGGTTATCGCGCAGGCGCGGGGGCCCTCTTTTTTCCCCCTCACACATCCACGCGTCCGGACACGCTGTTGGACATTCAGTGTGTATATACGTCTAGGCCTCCTAGATGGGGTCCGAATAGATTCACCACCCACCAAACCACCCCAACCCAACCCGAAAACTTCAATTTGCCCTCCATTTCCAGTGGGGGGGGGTCGGGAAACATCGAAAAAACACATATGGAACCCGTACCCCCCCCAACCCGAAATTCGGGTCTTCGGGTTGGGTTGGGGTGGTCTGGTAGGTAGTCATACATGGGGTCGGAGGATCACGCCGCATCGCCGACGCATCGCCGATGCATTGCAGACGTGGGGCCCGATCGGCTTTCCGTCGACGTCGCCGATGCATCGCCGACGTCGCCGATGCATCGCCGGTGCCGACCCCATCTGGGAGGCCTCGTGGCACATTGGGGATGCCACGGCGCACGGCCCAGCGCACCCCACCATCACTGGCGCACGGCCGCGCGTATCCGCGGGGGGCTCGCCGGTGCCCCGGAGGCGACGCCCACGCCGGGCGCGCGGCCGCAGGCCGCCTGGGCGCGGTGGCGCCCGTGGCGGCCTGTGGTCCCTTCTCCCTTCCTCCTCCTCCTCCTCCTCCTCCTCCTCCTCCTCCTCCTCCTCCTCCTCGTCCCTCCTCCCTCCTCTCCTCGTCCCTCCTCCTCGTCCCTCCTCCTCCTCCTCCTCCTCCTCCTCCTCCCCTCCTCCCTCCTCGTCGTCTCCTCCTCCTCCTCCTCCTCCTCCTCCTCCTCCTCCTCCCTCCTCTTCCTCCTCCTCCTCCTCCTCCTCCTCCTCCTCTTCCTCTTCTCCTATGTCTCCGCCTATTCCTCCTCCTCCTCCTCCTTTTCTCCCTGTGCCTCTGCCGCTGGGCTTCGCCTGCACGTCAAACAAAAACATGCTACGCTAATCGCCGGCCTCGACTGCAGAGAGCACGCAGCTCCCTCGAAGGGCCCCCCCGCAAGTCCCACGAGCACAAGCTCGGCGCACCCCGCAGCCTGCGCTGCCCAGCCGGGTACGTAAAGGGACGAAGGGAGGTTGCGCAGTCAGACGGACGACGACGAAGACGCAAGAGCAGTCACGCGTAGAGGCGGTTTTGGGGGGGGAGGGGGGGGAGTTCATAGAAGCACCCCTGCTTCTTTCAAGCGATCGCAAACATGGATCAAGGGGGCGTGGATTAGCGACGGGTCCCGTTTCCATAGGAAATCGCGGATTTCCGCCGCCGAGCGAGGCGGCACCAGCCGCATTTTGGGGAGGGCACCTCCCCCGATCCATGGATTTGCCGATCGCGCGCCCAATCCATGGATCGCCAGTCCATGTTTGCGCGCCCCCGATTCTTGGAGGGCGTGGGGCGTCTCCATGTACAACCAGCTGGATTAAAAAGTGGAGGCCGTGGGGATCGAGGAAGACACGGTTGGCCCACGGGGCCCCGGGACAATGTTGGACTCGGGGCCGAGTCGGGAATTTCAGATGCATCTCTCACCCCTTTTGATATTATAACGGCCAAATGGGGTCAGCGTCTGAAAATGTGATTCCGCCTGAGACTTCCGCAACAAAAACTCAGATCGCCTTCGAGGGCTGTCTGGAAATTTGCCGTGGCATCTGAAAGTGGCGATTTTGCGTGGGACTTCCGCAGAGAAAAATCAGATCCATCTTCATGCCGCTTGAGAGCGGCGATATCGCCTGAGAATTCCTCGCAGGGTATCTTCCGACCGCTTTTCACACCGCCAAAGGGTGGCGATTTCGTTTGGGCTGTCCTCACAACCGCGCGTCTCGTCCACCCCTGCGTCGCCGTTCCTCCGTTCGGGTCACGACTCTGTCTGGGAGTTACTTGGGATCGATCGAAGGTCGAAGCTTGATGTTTTTTTCGATTGGCGAAGACCCAGGGGCTGTTCCCTGCCATGGTGCCGATTACCCCTTTTTAATCCAAGGGGTGGTAGATGTTGGGCCGGCGCCTTCCAAGAACCCCCCCGCCCCGTGCGCGCCGCAAACGCTTGGCATCGCTCGGACGTGTGCAGTTTTCCTTCGGCGAGGACCATCGAGGAGCATCCTCGATCATTTGGCGAAAAAGCCACGCACGAAACCGAACAAAAAACACAGGGAATGGACGTCCGAGCGATGGCCAGAACGAGAGGTTGGCGGGACGAGGCGGGAAGAGGCGGGCGGGCGGGCCTGGCAGGCGGGCCGAAGTTGCTCCTGGCCTCGTGGGATCCCCGGCGTGTCGCTCCGATGTGGAGCGGGTGTGAGGGCTGCGTGCCGAGGCTTCGAGAGGCAGTCTTGGGCCAATCTTGGGCCGGGCTGGAGCCGTCCTAGCTGGAGGCGGTCGGGGGTGGACAGATACCCCCAACAGTGACACGCCGATTAGCGAATTGTCCGTTTTCGGTTCTCGAGAGGGCGCCGTGGCCGTTATTTTCCAGGCTTGCGCCCGCCAGGTTTGGGCCTCAGGTCGTTTTTTACTAAAGGGGGTTCTGTCCATCCCCGAGGCGGGCTGGAGACCCCCAGCGCCATCTTTGGTTCCTGTTGATGCTATCTTGGGGGGCCTGCTGGTCCGCCTGAGGGCCCCTTGCAACCGCAGGGGGCCTCGTAGACCCTCTTGGAAGCCTCGGAAGCTCATCGCGGAGGCCTCGGACGCCCATCGCGGGGGCCATCTCGATCCTATTGGGGGGCACCCCGTGGTGCCGTCCTGGTCTTAGAAGGGCACTCCGTGGGGCCATCTTGAAGCCTCTTGGGCCCAATGCCAGACGAGGGCCGGCGCAGAGGCTATCACGTTTGCGCTTGTCTGCCATCTGTGGCGGCTTGGGGGCGAATTCTGGGTTCTCCAGGGCCCTTGCGAGCAATGTGGGGAGTCTCTGAGGAGCCGGGCAAGGCTTTGCTGAGCTCCCAGGGCCCCCTAACGGCCCCCCCCCACTTCAGTTCCAGGCATCCCGGATGGGGTCGGATTAGATGGGGTCGGAAAATTGCGACGCATCGCCGATGCATCGGCGATGCGGATCGATGTGGAGCCAATTTTCTCCACGCCAACGTCGCCGATACATCGCCGACGTCGCCGATGCATTGCTGGTGCATCGGTGATGCATCGACGATGCGGCGCGATCCTCCGACTCCACCTGCTCCGACCCCACTTGGGAGGCCTCGACGAACGGGATATTAGAGTTCCTGGGAGGGGGAGAAAAGAGAGAGGGGCAGCCAATCAGCTCGCGAGCCTGCTCACAGCCGGCAGACGGTGGCTGGCGGAGTAGGGCGAGAGTTTCCAATGTCTGGTCGGCTCAGCCGGAAGACAGCTTGAGCGCGTCGTTCGCGATGGGCACTCGCGCTAGATGAAATACGCCTGAGTTTGATCGGCCGTTGCTTCTGGCGTGAGTTACCGCGCGTGAGAGAGTTCAGGCCCAACGTTCAAGATCGCGTGAGCACATACGGGTCTCATTGGCAGCCAAGTCAAATCGAGTGCACTGCTGAAGGAGGAGTGGGAGGAGTTGCATTAACAGTCCAGATGAGGTCATGCAGGTTGCGCGTGGACCCCTACAGTCTGGACTTGTAACCTGTGTGGTGGAAGCTGTTTAGTGGATGCCACGTGTTGGAACACGTGTGCGGTGGAAGCTGTGTGGCGCCATGGATGTGGGGCATTGCTCTGTGGTGGGAGCTACGTGATGCAGCGTGTGTGTTGTGCGAGCTTTGTGGTGCAACCCGTCAAGGGAGGACAAACCACCCGGACCCGACGATTGATGTTTACTAAACGGGCTTGGGCGTTTACTAAATAGCCCCGCCCTGGTCGATTCCTTCCTTGGGCGTGTTTACTAAACGGCTTCGCTTGTCGGGGTGAGTATTGTGGGGGTGGATTGTTTTGCCTTCTACTGAGTGGTAGACTGTACGTGGTGCCAGCTGCGTGGTGCAGCCAGCGCACGGTGCTCCCACGTGGCGCCCGCGGGGCACCACGGTCGGCGACCGGGCGAAGCCCCCTGGAAGCGCCAGCCAGCTCACGGGGCGCCCCTCGAGGAGTTCCGCGGGCGGTGGCCCGAGGGCGGGAACGTGGAAGCACAAGCCGATCAGTTGAAAAGACAGCAAGTCAAGCAGTGGCGAAGCGTCCTGGCTCGCCTATAGGCCCACCAAAGAATGGTCTGAGAACCTTTTGTGGTCTGCACGAAATGTTCTTAGAACATCTCTAGTTGGGACTGTCTGGCTTTAGCACATAAGTTTGTGTTCTAAGAACCTTGTTTTTGTACTTCGAACATTATTGGGTTCTAAGAACATTTCGTGGTAGGCCTACCGGTCACTGCTCAAGTAAGAGGTCCGAGTGCTTTTGGCTGGGGATGGAAGCGGGTCATTCATTGTCTTGTTTGGGGTTGAGGCCATGAGGACCAATGAGCCACCGGTTGGCAGCAACACGTGCGCAGAGATGTTGAGCAATTTCGTTTGTCCATGCGGTAGGAGAAGTGCAGCGGGGCTCAGCATTGGAGATCCCGCAGGCTGGCGAGTCGCAACCTCCTGAAGTACACCATCCACAAGACATCCTTCGCGGCTACGCGTCCATGCTGGCAGTGAAGTTTTCTGGCGAACTGTCGCAGCATACGGAAAACGTTGGGGCTGTGGCACACGAGTACACCTTGTCAGTTGCAGATGTGTGCTACTGCTTTCTCTGTTTGGAAGAGGTCGGAAATAGCGACGCGGATGGGCAGTCTGGCCTATCCGTCAAGAAGTGGGGGACCGGCGCGTTCGCTGCTCGGATTTGGACAGTTGTGCTCGCTCGCTTTGTCAAGGCGGCGCAGAAGGAGCGTGGGGCCACAGATGATGGCCGCGTGGAGAACGTCTGCGCCGAGTGGCAGTACAAGAGCGACCACTTCATAGCGGAGATGAAGGCTGTCGAGGCTGGGTTTCTGCGGAAGTTCGGCAAGGCTCTGCTCTTCGCCTTCCAGGTGGGGGGTTTCTCCAAAGGGCTTAGGCGACCCGTCCTCCTCCTCCTCCTCCTCCTCCTCCTTCTCCTCCATCTCCTCCTCCCCCTCCCCCTCCACCTCCTCCTCATCCTCCCCCTCACCCTCCTCCACCTCCTCCACCTCCTCCTCCTCCTCCTCCTCCTCCTCCTCCTCCTCCTCGGGTCGCCTGCGGCCTCGTGGGAAACCGTGCACTTCCAGGACAATGCTATGCGGCAGCAGGAGCTGGCACGATCCCGCCGAAAGCTCGGCGAGAGTGGAAAGTCGGTCGCGCCGCAGTCCTCCCGCCTCGCGCTCGCTCTCACCGATGAGGCAAGCAGCTCAGGCTCCTTTGAAAAGGGCCCACTGCCGGCCCTTGCAGCAGTGGCCTCCCGCGCAGTTCGGCCAGGACTCAGAGGAGGAAGAGGTGCCCATACCTCCGCCCTCCCCTAGCTTTCCTCTTTTTGGGCCTCTCGGGCCTCCGTCGTCGCCACCGCTGGATTCGCCACGAAATCCTGGTCAGAACGCACCCCAGGAGAGGTCCGGGGAGTGGCGGTATCGGTACCTTTTGGTTTCCCCAAGGACGGCTCACCGCACTCCCGGCGAGCAGCTCGTCGGATGCGGCGGGCGAGGGGCCTCGCAAGCGGACTCGGGCACAGGAGTCCGCCAGCATCATGGCCGTCCAGAAGCGCGGCCGGAAGAAGTAGGGGCCGACCGGCTGAGGTTGAGCACGCGCGGCAGATACGCAGCCATCGGGTTCGCTGTGTATCCAAGCGTGGCTCCCATGCGGCGCGCAGCCCCGTAATTAGACACGTCTCCCCAGCCGGTGCACTCTCTCCTGTGCCCACCCCTCCACTTTGTGATCCTCCCGGGGCGACTGTGTGATTACGCAGCGGTGAAGCAGTTGCCGTCTTCGAACAACTGTCCCACGAAGCGGCAGCGATGTATAGGCTTCTGAGAGCCATGAGACTTGGCGGTGCGCAGAGAGGGATAGGGGGAGGGGGGAAGGCTTCTTGGAAGGAGGCTGCTTCTTAGAAGCCGCGGGCCTTATCTGCAGATGTAAGGCCCGCGGCTTCTAAGAGGCAGCCTCCTTCTAAGACGCCTCCCCCCCTTCCTTACCCCCCTCTGCGCGCCGTCAAGAGACGCTTTCGAATACCGAGCTCCAGAGCGTCGCCAGTCCTTTGATTGGCTAGTCTAATTCGGTACGCGTGCGAGGCTGCGGGGCACCTGGGAGGCTGCATCACATACCTCGCACAAGGCCGCTGCGGTTATGACAAGAGGGCGGGCCCGGCGTGGACAAAAAGTAGAGCGTAAAGTCAGGCACGTCCCTCTACAGGAGGAAGATTCAGAAATAGTCCAATAATAGCCTGGGGTCGATGATTTGATTCTGTTTTGGCTATTTTCTGGTATTGTGTGACTTTTTTATTTCCTTCCAAAATCCGCCTGCAAGAGGGCATGCCCGACCTAAGTGGAGCGTCGAGCACGCGCCTTTTTGTTCGCAAGCTGCAGACATATCTTGTGACTCTTGGTCTCTTGCAGGGAAAGCCTCAGCACGTGCAGGGGACATGCGTAGTCAGTCGTCCACGCTTTCCCGTGCGGTTTGTGCACTTGTTTTCAGAGGCGTTTGCTCGGTGGTTGCAGAGTGCACGGCGAGTCTGCTCTTAATTTGCTTCAACCTCCTGCTTATCTCGACTCTCATCTATTGGCACTACTTGTCGGGTGACGCTCTCTGTGAACCAGAATGCTCGACCCAAGTGGAGTATGCTCCTGCTCGTCGTTACTGACATGGGCTGTGTCATGGTCATCGTCGAAAGTGTTCGTTGGGCATCTAATTGTTCGTCTTGCCTGTAGTGCCTGTTGTCACCTGGTCATCTTGTCGTATCCATTGGTGCAGAAGGAATGTGGGGCGATTGTGAGTCAGGTGGGGGTGGCCATGATGCCGTTGAAGTTCGAATGCACGGAGTAACATGGTGAAGGCGTAATGCCAAGAATGTGGGTGGCATATGACAGGTCTGGCCGAACCACGTGCATCCGGTGTCGTGCGGATCTTATCCCGAGTTCTCCAAGCAGAGGTAGCACAGCGTACTCGACGGGTATCAGACGAAGCCACTCCGGCTACTCACCCTCCCTTTTCATTCTCGAGCACGCACACTGCAGAGCCGCAAGTCGCATCATCAACTTCGCTAATGGAGGATGACGATTAATAAATGACCGGGGGTCGTGCTCACGCGGTGGCGCCCGGGATGACGATTAGAAGAAACCGGCCGCGGGCTGGAAAACTATCTTTTTTTAATCGTTCTCCTCCAGTCAGAAAATTGTTGCAGAAATAACAGAAAACTACGTCTTTTTTTATCGTTCTCCCCAATTTTTTATTAATCGTCATCCCGCATTACGCAAGCGACGCCTGTCAAGTTAAAACAGCGCCAATCTGTAGAAACGCCCGTCCCAATCGTCCGACAGTTGGAGTTTTTGGTTCTCTGGTGCTTCGGCCCAGACTTGTGTGCGATCCGCCCGTCTCGGAAGTCTGGTGCGTCCAGCGCGTCACTTTTTTTTTGTTGTTGTTCCGTCGCCATGGGATGGCAGTTGGCAGGACACCGGTCTGTGCACCAGGGCCGGGCGTGTGCCGGTTCTGGACAATCGGGCGGGTGGTAGTGGGGGGGAAACCTCGCTGAGGGTGGAGAGAAGGGGCTCCGAAGGGGCCCTTGAGGGCCCCTTTTGTGCCCCTGCTGGCTCCCAAAGGGATCCGAAAGTACCCCTTTTTGGGCCCTTTGCTGCACCTCCCGTGTAGGTCACCCCCACAGTGCCACCCGCCCGAGGCAAATGTGCGATCAGCAAGAGTCTCGCGGAAATGTTAGGGAGGCATGATGGGGCAGCCTCCTCCGGAGTCCCTCTCCTCTCCTTCCTCTTGGGATGCAGCTCCTGGGAGCTTTAAATTCAGCATCGGCGCTGGTAGAAATGTCCGTGGTCGAAAAACCGACCTAATTCAGCAGACTCCCGTCTGCTCCGGCGGAATCCTGTCGAATCCGATTCCAGACGCTTCACGTAACCCCAGGTGTTCTTGTCGACGGGCGCGCGAGAAAACGTATCCATCTACCTCAGTCAACATGTGTCGTGGCGGGCCTGCGCAGCGCTGGCTATGTACACTCGGCTTCAGGCATTCCCACCATCGTGCCTGGGTCGTGATTTGGATGTTGGTTGGGGCCTCGTGGGAGGCCTCTCGAGGACTCCAGGGGGCAGCGTCGAGGCTTCCAGTGGTCTGTTTTGGGGCCGCTTGGGGCTTCTTTTGGCTTCTTGGGGGCCTCTGGGGGCTTCCTGGAGGCTTCTGGGGAGGCCTCTTCCCTTGACGCCTCCCGGATGCCCCTCGGGGCGAAAGGCTTGGACTGTCGGCTCGTGCTCCCCCTCTCAGGCTCCTCTTGGGGCCGTCTTTGGGCCCCCCCGGGGCGTCTTGGGCGCCTCTTGGGCCGTCGTGCAGCCCTCCTGGGCCATCTTAGGGGCCCTCTCGAGTGCCTCTTGGAAGCATCTTGGGCCGTTGTGGAGCGTCCGACGCGAGCATGCGAGAACATCAAGAACATGGAGAATCCGTGTGGAAATCCATGATTTGGGCCTCCTGGGCCCTTCTTGGGAACGCTCTCGGGGCTCTTGGGGCGTCTCGACGGCTTCGTGGGCCGTCTTGGAGCCATCGTCGGCGAGGGCCTACACAACGCCAGTCACATGTCAGCCCCCCCCCCGCAATCACGGTCCAAGCCCAATGCCATGTGATCGCCGCCTCCCATGCGCGCGACTCCGATTATGCCGCACATGGCGTCCTGCAGTGCTCGTGGACACGGACAGTGGGCGTGAGCAGGGCGCACCACGCATCACGGGGCCTCCGCCGTCCCTGGCCAGCAAAAAAAACCACGCAGCGTGATCGCGGGGCGTCCGCGCACGGTCCGGATTCTGCCGCAGCGTGTGCGCTGCACAGGAGTTTTGACAGGGCTGCGGGCGGGCGCGGAGCTGAGATGATCAGAGGAGCCAAGCGGTACCCGCAGCCTCTATACCCTCCGCCCGTGTTCCCCTCGTCGCCACCGCTGGTTTCGCCCCGAAGTCCTGGTCAGAAAACGCACCCCGGGAGAGGGCCGGGGAGTGGCGGTATCGGTGCAGTGCCGTGTTTGATACATGCTCCGCGTGCGGATCATGTATTAAAAGTGAAGGGATTTAGTATTAAAAGCAGTGAGGAATGTATGCAATGATGTATCTTTCAATTCATCATGTACAAAAAAATCCAATGGGTTAAAAATCCAACGTATTAAAACCTGCCCTGTACCTTTTGTGGCTTCCCCCAGCTGAGGGCACCCCCCCGCCGTGCCGTCGCTGCCAGCAGCCCGCGCGGAGGGGAGCACGGGGCACCCGCGCACCGTCTTTGAGTTTTGCCGCAGCGTGGGCCTTCGATTGTTGTCTTGGGCAGGGATCCCTGGCCTTCCAGAGAGCTATTTGTTTAGCACTGGAGACCCACACACCTAAAAGGCTGGGCGAAACAGCCTAAACCCAAGACGTAGAATAGCTCTGGGATAGGTTCTTAAGTCGGGTGCTATTTTTTCGCCCTCCTGGAAGGTCAGGGATGGCGGGGGGGGGTGACAGGCAGGTCGGCGTTGCCAGGATTTGTCGCTGGTCGGGTGGTGGGGGAGGGGGGCTTGGAAGAGGAAGCCCGCTAAACCACTCACACCAGGAAGGGTTGGTGGGACTGGATCCCGGGCCTAATCCAGCCTGACTGTTGACGCTTCACGTATCCCCACCAGCCGATTCAGAAGCGATGCCCAGACAGAAGACAGCCGTTAAACAAAAGCTCGCGAACAGGCCGAGAAGGCCGATGACGGGGAGGACGAGGACGATGAGGAGGACCAGGACGAGGGCGAGGATGAGGGGGAGGACGACGACCAGCGTAAACCCAAGACTCATCAACGACGTGGCAATAAACTCCCCTGAGGGAAGTGCCCCGTTGGAAGACAACCGCTTGAAAATCCCGAGCCGTGCCACAGCACCGTTACCTGGGACTTCCCCGCCGCGAATTCACATTAGGATCATCAGTGGTAAGGAAGTCTCGGGCGAAACGCCCAGCCTGCCCTACCGACACGTCGCGGTGTGCGACAGGGGGTATGCATAAATAAAAGGGATGGAGGAGGACGAGGAGGAGGAGGACGATGACAAAGAAAAGGAGGACGAGGACAGGAGGACGAGGACGAGGATTCTGGCAGCCATCGTGGCGTCTTCTTGAGGCCCTCTACTGGGCCCTCGTGAGGTTCTCTCGAGGCCCTCCCAGGCCCCTTTGGGGCTATTCTGAAGGATCTGAGGGTACGATTGGGGTTGGGGGCGTTCTGGAGGCTTTCTCGAGGACCTCTTAGGGGCCTTGCATGCCTCTTGGGGCCACCCAGGAGGGCGCAGATCAAAGGAGGGGTGGAGTCCTCGATCTCCCTTCCCTGTTCTGGGGCCGTCCAACGCGCCTCTTGGGGCCCTCTTGGGGCGCTCTTGGGAGCTCCTGCGGCCGTCCTGGGGGGCCTCGTGGGCCCCACTTGGGGCGCTTCTGGGCCACGTGGAGGCCAGATTGCGACTTCCGACGCCCGTCGGAAACGAAGTGGCGAGATGGCGGAACGCAATGGCTTTCCCTGGATGTGGATGTCGACAGGACTTTGAGCTGTCGGAGGGGGAGGGGGGGCTCCGGATGCGCTCGGAGGTGTCGTGTGGCCCTCTCGATGCCTTTCGGAGGCGTGTCGGAAATTATCGTGTGCCATGTTCGGCTATCTGAGGCCATCTTGGATGCCATCTTGGAGCATTGGAGGCCCTGCTGGAGCTATCTTGCGCCAAGAAAGACCCCCTGACACATCGCGGGGGGGTCCGAAACATTTCAAGAGGCGGAGGGCACCCCTCTCCGAACGGAAGAGGGGTTTTGGAAGAGGAGAGGAGAAACTCGATTGATCACACAAGCCTACAGAGCTGGTTGAGCTCGGCTCATTTGCCCCCAGCGCAGCCCTTCATCGTTCTTGCGAAGACGTCCCAGAAGCTGCTTCCCCATTTCCCCGCCTCCTCCCTCCCCCCCCCTCCTCCTCCTCTTCCTCCTCCTACTCCTCCTGCTCCTCCTCCATTCCTTCTATTTATAGATAACTCCTCCCTGTCGCACCCCGAGGCCAGTCTTTCGGGCGGATCGGGCGTTTCGCCTGAGACTTCCTTACCATGTATGATTCTGAAACTTAAAAAGTGACAGGAGTTTTACAAATGGAGGGCGGGTCGTTTTCAAAATGTGGCTCTCGCCTCAGCGCCGCACGCATTCGTTTTAAACAGGTGCAAGAGTTTCACGGATTGAGGGCGGGTCGTATTCAAAATATGGCTTTCACCTTAGCGCCGCACACATTCGTTTCAAACATTCGCAAGAGCTTCACGGATTGAGGGCTGGTCGTTTTCAAAATGTGGCTCTCGCTTGAGCGCCGTGCGCATTCGTGTTTTAAACATTTCCAAGAGTTTCACGGATTGAGGGCGGGTCGTATTCAAAATGTGGTTCTCGCCATAGCAACGCGCACATTCGATTCAAACATTCGCAAGATTTTCACGGATTGAGGGCGGGTCGTTTTCAAAATGTGGCTCTCGCCTGAGCGCCGCGCACACCAAAAACAAAAAGGCCTGAGTTTCACGGATTCCCATGATCAACGTACCAGAAATTGCATTTTGGAAGGATTCAGGATTATGCGGTCGCAACAGTTATGTTGATTCGCTGTGTTGAAGTCCCAAGAATGGCGTTCTCGCACGATTCTGGATCGTCAAGACGCAGCTGTCAGGTTGATTGAAAACTGTCGTTGAAATCCCGAGAACCATGTTTTGGCACGCTTCAGGATCTTCAAACTGTTGTCTTCCAACGAGGTAGTTCCTTCAATGGAAATCAACCTTTGTATGGGGCCTATGAAGAGGGAGCTCGAAGGGAGGGTGAATTCCAACATCGTTCATGATTCTTGTGTTTCCACTGGTCCTCCCCCTCCTCCTCCTCCTCCTCCTCCCCCTCCCCCTCCTCCTCCTCCTCCTCCTCCTCCTCCTCCTCCTCCTCCTCCCCCTCCTCCTCCGCCTCCTCCTCCTCCTCCTTCTCCCCCTCCTCCTCCTCCTCCTCCTCCTCCTCCTCCTCCTCCTCCTCCTCCTCATCTCCCCCCTTCCGCTTTGGCGCCCTTCAGATCGAGGGGTGGGACAGCTCTACCGCCGGCGCGGCGGCCACCCAGCTCTCCTGCCCGGGCCGGAGCGCCGCGCCGGCGGCGCGGCAGCGCTCTGGGACGGAGGCCATCCGCGGGGGCGTCGAACCCACACAGGCCCGCGCCGTGACAGAGTCACGGCGGAAGGTTTTGGGTCGTTGTCGGCCTTTTGGGGGTCCTCGCCGGGACCTGGGAGCATCCACGAAAGGCTCGGGGTGAACGGACCTGGGGAAAAGGGTCAGGACTTTCGGGGGACCGCGTGTGAAACAAAGCAAGACGTCGCATGTCTGGGAAAAGAAATGGCATACCACACAGAAATCAGCCTGCCAGCGTGTTGACAGCAGTTCGAGCAATACCAGATCTCGTTCGCCGTGTGTATCTAGTGGCCGTCGGCCCATCCAGCCACAGTGCCTCAGATGTAGGTCGAACACCCCTTGGATGCCTGAGTGGATCTCTTGGGAGTCTTCTCGGGAGCATCTTGGAGAAGGTTTTCGGGTGTCTTGGGTGCTTCTCGGAGGCCTACAAAGGGATTCTCGGGGCCTGATTTGAGCTGGAGCCTCTGGGTCTCGGAAGTTGTCTTGGGCAGAAAAACTTGGAATGTCGGCTCTTGTCTATCATTTGGGGTCTCTTTTGGGCCCGCTTGGGGGTTCCCTTGGGTTTTCTTGGGGCCAGGCCATCTTGGAGCTCTCTCAGGGGCCTCTTGGACTGTCTTCGGGGCCTCTTTGGGAGGACGAGGAGGAGGAGGAGGAGGAGGAGGAGGAGGAGGAGGAGGAGGAGGATGAGGAGGAGGAGGAGGAGGAGAATGAGGAGGAGGAGGAGGAGGAGGAGGAGGAGGAGGAGGAGGAGGAGGAGGAGGAGGGAGGAGGGAGGAGGGAGGAGGGAGGAGGGAGAAGGGAGAAGGGAGGAGGAGGAGGAGGAGGGCCCGCCGCCAGGGTGCGCAGAAAGGGCACCCCACAGCCGGCGCCTCCCCGCGGGGCACCCGCGAGCGGGGCCTCTCTCCCTCCGCGGTGGTGGTCCTCGCACCCGCGGTGCGCTCCATGGGCGTTCCCGGCGTTCCTCCTCTCGCCGCATCCCTATCGGGGACGGCAAAGAGGGGGGTGATGACTAGGGGGGGGGGTGGATATCATGGCGTGGGCCAGGATATCTCCCCAGATTTCATGGTGCCGCTTCTTATTTCATTGCGTCCCTGGCCCCCCCGCTGGGCCGCGCACATGCCGCCGGTCATGATTTGCACCCCCCCCTCTTTGACGCCCCCCTCTTTGCCGCTCCCGACCCTGGAGGACGACGACTACGCAGACGACGGCGGCGGCGGCGGACGCGGCGGCGACGACAGCAGCGACGATGACGAGCGCGAGAGCCGCGCACGGGGCGAGCGCCCGCCATCCCGGCCTCGCAGGGATGGGCTCGTCCATGTGCACCACGGGGGAGCAGGAGATCAGACACGCGGACGGCTCCCTTGGGCGAGGGCCTGTCGCTGAGATCTGGCGTCCTTTGAGCAATCAAGACGGAGTTTGTCAACCTCGGCATGTCTTTAGTTTTGCTCCCCCCTGTTTCTTTCGGCGGGGATCAAAACTCGTCAACTATCTCCCTCCTGCTCCTCCTCCTCGTCCTCCTGCTCCTACTACTACTACTACTACTACTACTACTACTACTACTACTACTACTACTACTACTACTACTACTACTACTACTACTACGACTACGACTACTACTGCTACTGCTACTGCTACTGCTACTGCTACTACTACTACCACCACTGCTACCACTACTACTACTGCTACTACTACTACTACTACTACTACTACGACTACTACTACTACTACTACTTTTACTACGACTACTACTACTACTACTACTACTACTACTGCTACTACTACAACTACAACTACAACTACAACTAGAACAACAACTACTAGTAGAAGTAGTAGTACTACTACTACTACTACCCTTACTACTACTACTACTACTACTACTACTACTACTACTACTACTACTACTACGACTACTACTACTACAACCACTACTACTACTACAACAACTACAACTACTACTACATCAACAACAACTACTACTACTACTACTGTACTACTACTACTACTGCGGCTATGTTTTCTTCTGTTACTACTACGACTACTACAACTACTAATACTATTACGTTTACGACGACGACGACGACGACGACGACGACTACTACTACTACTACTACGATAAACTACTACTACTTCTACGACGACTACAGCAGCTATCATTGCTACTACTACTACTGCTACTACTACTACTACTACTACGTCTACTACGACTACTGCTACAAGTACTAACACTACTTCGACTAATACGAGTACGACGACGGCCACTACGACTTCTTCTTCTACTACTACTACCATATAACCTCTACTACTACTACTCCTACTCCTACTACTACTACTACTACTTCTACGACTACTACTACTACTACTACTACTACTGCTACTACTACTACTACTACTACTACTACTACTACTACTACTACTACTAGTACTCCGATTACGACTACTACTACTAGTATCACTACTACTACTACTACTACTACTACTACTACCTCTACTACTAGTAGTACTAGTACTACTACTACTACTACTCCTACTACTACTACTACTGCTACTACTACCACTATAACTACCACTACCACTACCACCACTACTGGCAGAACTACGACTGCTACTACTATCATTACTACTACTCTTACGACCACCACCACTACTGCGACGACTACTACTACTACCACTACCACCACTACCACTACTACTACTACCACCACCACTATTACTACGATTACTAGTTCTACCACGACCGGATTATTATTACTACTACGACTACGACTACGACTACGACTACTACTACTACTACTACTACTACTATCCCCACGACTACCACTACTACGACTACCACTACTACTACTGCTGCTACTACTACTACTACGATTACTACTACGACTACTATTAGTACCACAATTACAGCCGCTAGTATCAGTACTGGTACTAGCAGTACTCGTACTGCCACCACCGTCACCACCAGAACAACAAGTAGTAGTAGTAGTAGTAGTAGTAGTACTACTGCTACTACTACTACCACGACTACGACTACGACTACGACTACTACTACTACGACTACTACTACTTTTACTACTACTACGACTACTACTACTACTACTACGACTACTACTACGACTACGACTACTACTACTATTACTACTACTACTACTACTTCTTCTACTACTACTACTACTACTACTACTACTAACTACTAACTACTAACTACTAACTACTGACTACTACTACTACTACTACTACTACTACTACTACTACTACTACTACTACTACTGTTACCACGACGACGACGACTTTTGCGGCTGCTGTTGTTCTTCTTCTTCTTCTTCTTCTTCTTCTTCTTCTTCTTACTACTACTACTACTACTACTACTGCTATTACTACTACTACTACTACTATTACTTGTAATACTACTATTACTACCACTACTACTTCTACTACTACGGTGATAGTAGTCATGATTGTAGTCGTGGTTGTAATCGTATTTGTTGTCGAGTTTGTAGTCGCAATGGTAGTTTGTCGTAGTCGTAATCGTCGTCGTCGTCTTCGCGGAAACTATTTTCCCTGTATTTTTGTTGCTGGGTTGTATATTGTGGAGGGTTTTTTCTCCAAGAGAACAATGTTCCTACTTACCCTGCACGACAGAGGAATGTTGAGCACGCTTGTGAGAGGATTGCAAGATAGATCGACGTATTCTTCGCCGAAGGTGTTGCCCACAATCTCCTCGTTCATCTCGTCGTCGTCGTCGTTGTTGTGTGGCGGGTGCCGTGGGTGAATAACTATTTTCTGGTATTGGTGGGACCCCCGTCCGTCGATACGGGCGTCGAGACAACACTTGGTTTCCATTGTTTGGGGGGGTGTCTAAAGACCTTCTGGGGGTTTTGTAGTTTTCGGCCCTCAAAGGCCTTCGCTGGGCCGTCGAGTTTCTGGTTTCCGACCGTCAGCGATGAACCGCCAGCCCCAGGGAACGAGTGGGGGCGCCGCATCGAAGACGCCTGCGGCGAATCACCACCTCTCCCTGTCTTTGAGGATACGCCCATGTGGCCAAACGTTTGGGCAAAGCTTGGCCACGCTACTGGACCATGCGCTCCCCAAGCAGTTGTAGAAGCCCTTCGGGGAACACGTGGGGGAGGAAGAGTGGGATGAGGAGAGGGAAGAAAAAGGAGGATGAGGAGAAGGATGAGGGGGCCTCTTTGGAGCTGATTGGGTCATTCTCGGCGCCTCATCGGAGCTTCCTGGGGGCCTCTTGGAGGCCTCTCGTGGGCCTCTTTAGGCCTCTCGGGGGCCTTTGGGGGCTTCTTGGGGCCTTTTTGGCAGTCTTGCGGCGTTCCGGACCCGTCTGACGCAGTCGGAAGCCGTCTTCGCAGCCTCTCTGGGCCCTCTTGGGGCTCTCCTGGAGCGCTTCAGGATTTTGTTGAAGGCCATCTTGGGCGTCCTGGAAGCCCTTTGGGCCGCATTGGGTCTCCTTGGAGGCTGTGCTCTGAACAGCAAGTCTCCAGAGAGCGATCAGTGACGTAAAAAGATCTGAACACCAAGGCTCCCAAGGGCGAGCGGTCACGTAGACACCGCTTTAACACCAAGGCTCCCAAGAGCGATCGGTCACGCGAAGCAGCTCTCCACGCCGAGGCCCCCAAGAGCGAGCGGTGCCGTTAAAAGCTCTGAACACCAAGGCTCCCAAGATTTCACGCGATTCGACAAGCTCCTGACAGCAAGGCCCGAGAGCGAGCGTCAATGCAATCAGCTCTTCGCACCAAGGCTCCCAACAGCGAGCGGTGGTACAACAAGCTCTTAGCTTAACACGAAGGCTCCCAAGAGCGAACGGTGCCATGAGCCAACACGCCCCGGGGGTGATGGGGGGCAACACGGCCCAAGAGGCGCCCACGATTGCCTCGGATACCCCCGAGAGGGCCCTCAAGAGGTCCATGACGGCTCCGAGACGGAGACAGAGCGATCTAAGAATACCCAAGACCTCCCAAGAGCCTTTCAATATGACCTACGATGGCTTCAGGTTAGTCCAAGAGGACTCCCAGACGGCCCAAGAGGCCTTCAAGAGGACCCCGAGAGCTTCGGCAGGCCAAAAACATTGATCACACTTAGGTTCGTACATGTTTTAAGGTTCTTGTCTTTTCGGGCTTTCGACAGCCCAAGTGGTCCCCAGAACGGCCCAAGAGAGCCCCAAGTCACCCAAAAGATCCCAAGAAGGGCCCTCCCCAGACGGCCCAATGGCGGACGCAGTTTTGACTCCAAGGCTCCCACGAGCATCAGGTGACTGGAAAGCCCTTTGCACACGAGTCGGTAACGTAAACATTTTGGAACGGCAAGGGTCCCAAGAGCGAGCAGTGGCCCAGAAAGTTCCGAATGCCCAGTTTCCCAAGGGCGAACGGTGACGTACACAGCTCTGAACGCCAAGGTTCCCAAGAGCGAACTGTCTCGCAAACGTCTCTTAATTCCAAGGCCCCCAAATCGGCCGACAACGGACCAAGAGGGCCCACAGACAGCCCAAGAGAGTTCCAAAACGGCCCAAGAGGGCACCAAGACTGCCCTAAGAGAGCCCCAAGATGGCCCCAAAAGGCTTCCAAGAGGGCCCGAAGAGGGGTGAGGGGACTGGGCTGCTTGGGTGTGGGAAGCGGGCTGGCCCTAAGAAGGCCCAATATGTCCAAAGCGGCCCTCAAGATGGCCCCCGAGAGGGCCTCAGGAGGCCAAACACGGTGACGTTCTTTGTGTTTTTATGTTAGGTGTTTCGGGTTCTCGCCTTTTCGGACCCAGAAGGGCCCAAGACGGCCCAACAGGCCCCGAACATCGTCCCAAGATGGTCCCAGAGGTTCCAAAATGGGCCAATAACGGTCCAAGAGGGCCCCCAGACGGCCCAAGAGAGTTTTAAAACCGCCCAAGAGGGCCCCAGTATTGCCCCAAGAGAGCCCCAAGATGGCCCCAAAAGGCTTCCAAGAGCGCCCGAAGAGGGGTGAGGGGACTGGGCTGCGTGGGTGTGAGGAGTGGGCTGGCCCTGAGAAGGCCCAAGAGTCCTGAAACGGCCCTCAAGAGGGCCCCCGAGAGGGCCTCAGGAGTCCAAACGCACTGATGGTCCTTGTGTGTTTAGTTTAGGTGTTTCGGGTTCTCGCTTTTTCGGGCCCAGAAGGGCCCAAGACGGGGGCCCCAAAAATCGTCCCAAGACGGTCCCAGGGGCCCCCAAAAATGGCTTGACAACGGTCCAAGAGGGCCCCCAGACGGCCCCAGAGAGTTCCCAAACGGCCCAAGAGGGCACCAAGACTGCCCTAAGAGAGTCCCAGGAGGGCCTCAAGAGGCTTGCAAGAGGGCCCGAAGAGGGATGTGGGGACTGGGCTGCTTGGGTGTGGGGAGCGGGCTTGCCCCAAGACGGCCCAAGAGTCCCAAAACGGCCCTCAAGAGGGCCCCCGAGAGGGCCTCAGGAGGCCAAACACATTGATGCTCCTTGTGTGTTTGTTTTAGGTGTTTTGGTGTTTTCGGCCCACGAGGGCCCCAAGACGGCCCAAGAGGGCCCCAAGACGCCCAAGAGAGCCCCAAGATGGCCTCAAGAGGCTTCCAAGAGGTCCCGACGAGGCGGTGTGGGGGCGGGGCTGCTCGGGCGTGAGGACTGGGCTGGCCCCAAGACGGCCCAAGAGTGCCAAACCGGCCCTCAAGAGGGCCTCCCAAAGACCCCAAGAAGCCCCAGAGACGCCAAGTAACACCATGGCTCCCCACAGCGAGCGGTGACGTAACAAGCTCTGAACACCAAGGCTCCCCAGAGCGCGGTGACGTACACAGCTATGACAGCAAGGCGCCCACGAGCGAGCGGCAACATAAAAGTCTCTGAGCACTGAGGCTCAAGGAATTGAGCACTGAGGCTCAAGGAATTAGGCAATTGACCTGAGGACGCTCCAACTCGTGCCCGAGGGAACGGTTGCGGAGATTGACAAGACAAACAAAGACACCAGAGGTCTGGGGATTTGAGCAGGAGTGCCCCTGGGCCAAAGTGCCCTCAGCTTTTCGCCCATTCTGGGCTTCTCAGGGCCGCTTTGGGCCACCTCGCGAGCGTACGGAGGCCATGGACGCATTCTTGGAAAACTTGGGGCCGCTTCGGGCCATGGACAGTTTCTGGCAATACCCGAGGGGAGGGAGAGGGGAGGCGGCTCCGATTCGGCTTCACGTTTTCAAGGGATGTCAAATTTCGGATGGTCATACCTGTTGTCTGACTTGTTCCGATGGCTTCCGGAAGTCTCTCGATGCGTCTGCAGGGTGTGGGGCCAGCGGGGCAGGCAGGATGACGACGATGAGGAGGGCACGGAGGGAGGAGGGCGGATCGGATCGGATCGGCTGCCCGCGGAAGGGCCCACGTGGGGCCGTCAGCTGGGGGGGGGGGCGCAGCACTGGTTAGCACTACGGCCCAGGAGGAGGGCGGAGCGGGGAGGAGTCCCGGGAGGAGGGAGGATGAAAGAGCAGGGGGGACAGAGTGAGGAGGGACAATGAGGCGGGGGGAAGGAGAGACGAGGAGGGAGGAGGAGAGGAGGGAAGGAGGGACGAGGACACGGAGGGAAGAGGGAGGATGAGCAACGACTCGAAAGGTGCAGGGGGGGAGGAGGGACGTGCTCCCCCTTCGTCCTCGCTCGGCCCTGCGCCAGGAGGCGGTGAACGACCCGAGGAGGTCGCCCACGGGCAAGGGCGCCAAGGCCTCTACCCCGACCCGGCAAGGCGGGGCAGGCAGAAATCACCGCGCCAGCAGACTTTCGGTGGCCTCCCCAGACCGCCCCCCCTTTGTTCGTGTCGTGGAGAAATCACGACGGAGGGTTTGGGGCCCTGTCTTGCATCTGGGGGCTGGGGGCCCTCACCGAGCCATGGGGGCCGCCGACGAACGTCGTATATCGTGGCGGGGGCCACGAGATCTCCCCAGATGTCACGGCGCCGCTTCGTACTTCAAGACGTCGCTGGCTCCCCCCATGGGCCGCGCACGTACCGCCGGCCATGGTTTGCGCCCCCCTCTTGGACGCCCCCCTCTTGGACGCTCTCCTCTTGGACGCCCTCGAGAACGCTTCGGGACCCTGGGAAAGGGGTCAAGACGGGGGGGGGCGGGGGGGCATTCGCGTGGTGGAAACAACCACGACGTCGGGGGTCTCTCCCCCCCTACCCCTCCAGGTCGAGGGAGCGCAGAGAGACGGAGATGGGAGGGGCAGGAGCCCTCTCCCATCCCTGTCCCTCGTCGCACCCCCTCCCTGTCCCTCTCCTCTCCCGCTCCCACTCGCCCCGCTTCCCCGGCCTGTCCCTCCTCCCTTCCCCCTCCCTCCTCCTCTCCTCCTCCTCCTCCTCCTCCTCCTCCTCCCTCCTCCTCTCTCTCCTCCTCCTCTCTTCCCCTCCCCCTTCTCCATCTCCTCCTCTCCTCCTCCTCCTCCTCCTTCCCTCCTCCTCCTCCTCCTCCTCCTCCTCCTCCTCCTCCTCCTCCTCCTCCTCCTCCTCCTCCTCCTCCTCCTCCTCCTCCTCCTCCCCCCTCTCCTCGCAGGGGCACGGTGTCGTATCCTGGCACCGGCGCTACCTTAAGCGGAGGGCACACTGTCAGGGTTCTGGCCCAAGTCGGCGGAGACAAGAAGGCGGCCGTTGCTTTCCGTGGTGAAGGGTTCGACTCCCTCTCATCACGTTCTTTTTCATGTCAGGTGTGGCACTTGTTTGCCCTCCTGGGTCTGCGTAGCCGGCCCGCAGGATCAGGGTCGGCGCAGCGGGGTCCGCGGTATCAGGACCTGTGTCGCTCCAGAGGCGAGGTTTGGAGCATCCGGAAGCTCAAAAAGTCGCCTCCTCGCAGCACCACCGGAGCGGCACACCGCCTCAAGGAAGGCGGCCGCGAGTGGGCCAGGCGACTTGCCCTTGTCCCGTTCCGTCGCACTTATTCGCCTAAGTGCTCCCTTCGGGGATGCGACGTTCGTTGTCGCTCATGCACAGCTCCCACAGCTCCTCCTCCCCCCCCTCCTCCCCCTCCCCCTTATCTCCTCCTCCTCCTCCTCCTCCTCCTCCTCCTCCTCCTCCTCCTCCTCCTCCTCCTCCTCCTCCTCCCTCCTCCTCCTCTCCTCCCTCCTCCTCCTCCCCCCCCCCCCCCCTCCTCCTCCTCCTCCTCCTCCTCCTCCTCCTCCTCCTCCTCCTCCTCCACCTCCTCCTCCTCCTCCTCCTCCTCCTCCTCCTCCTCCTCCTCCTCCTCCGCCTCCTTCTCTTTCTCCTTCTCCTCCCTACTCCTCGGGTCCTCCTCCTCCTCCTCCCTCCTCCCTACTCCCTCGTCCCTCCCCCCTCCTCCCTCCTCGCGTTCCGCTTTATTGGCGCCCTCCCGAAAAGGGGGCTGCCTGGCCGGCGGCAAGGGGGCGGCTGCCGCCCCGCAGCAGGCACCGCAGGGCAAGGACTCCCCGCAGCAGGCGCCAGAGGCGCGACGGAGGAGGAGGAGGAGGAGGAGGAGGAGGAGGAGGAGGAGGAGGAGGAGGAGGAGAAGAGGAGGAGAGAGAGGAGGAGGAGGAGGAGGAGAGAGGAGGAGGAGGAGGAGAGGAGGAGGAGGAGGAGGAGGAGGAGAGGAGGGGGGAGGGAGAGGAGGAGGAGGAGGAGAGGAGGAGGCGGCGGAGGCGGAGGCGGAGGCGGAAGTGGATGGAGAGGAGGAGGAGGATCAGGCGGAGAGGAGGAGGAGGCGGAGGGAGGAGGAGGAGAGGAGGAGGAGGAGGAGGAGAGGAGAGGAGGAGGAGGAGAGAGGAGGAGGGAGGAGGAGGAGGAGGAGGAGGAGGAGGAGGAGGAGGA